TATCCTAATTTGAGGTTCCACTAACACACTATAAGCGTACCTTTTCCCCTACATCCTCACCAGCATTATCATTTGTGTTCTTGATAACTGCCTTTCTGACTGGAGTGAGATGAACTCTTAGTGTAATTTTGATTTACATCTCCCTTTTTACTAGACATGTTGAACATTTTCTCATATATTGAGAAATATCTATTTAGTTCTTTTGTCCATATATTAATTGAGGTATTTGATTTTGTGGTGTTAAGTTTTTTGAGTTGTTTATGTATTCTGGATATTAATTCCCTGTGTCAGAGAAGTAGCTGGCAAAGATTTTCTCCCTTCTGCAGGCTTTTAATTTCATGCCATCCCACTTATTGATTCTTGGTTTTATTTCTTGAGCTTTAGGGTCTTGTTAAGGAAATCAGTGCTTGCATCAATATGATGGTGTGCTGACTGTATGGTTTCTTCTAGCAGTTGCAAGGTTTCCGGTCTAATTCTTAAAATGTTAGATTCAATTTGATTTGATTTTCCTACAAGGTGAGAGAGAAGAATCTAGTTTCATTCTTTTAATATGAATATGCAGTATTCCCATCACCATTGCTTTAAAAGGCTATCTTTCTGCAACATATTTTTGTACCTTTGTCACGTATCTCATGACTGTGAGAATGTGTGTTTGTCTTTGTGTCTTTTATTTTGTCCCACTACTCTTCAGTGATGCCAATACCGTACTTTTTTTTTTTTTTTTTTAAATTACGATAGCTCTGCAGTATCATTTTAAGTCAAGTATTCTGCTGCCTTGCATCATTCTTTTTTCTCAAGACTGCTCTGGCTATTACGGGTGTCAAACTTCCAAATAAATCTTAGGACTCCCCCCCCCCCCAATATCTGTGAAGAATATTGGTATTTTGAAGGGGACTTCATTGAATCTGTATATTGCTTTTGATAGTACAGACATTTTGACAGTATTAACTCTACCTATCCAAGAACATGGGATGTCTTTCCATGTTCTTAGGTCTTTTTCATTTTTTTTCTTCAATGTCATATTATTTTCACTGTAGAGATACTTTATCTCCTTGGTTAGATTTATTCCCAAGTATTTTATTTATTGGTTATTTTTAATGGAATGGTTTTCCTGATTTCTTTCTCACCAGAAATCACTTTTGAAAGAAAAGCTATTAATTTATGAATCTTATATTCTGCTACTCTACTGAATTCATCGTCTTATGGTAGAGCTTTTTGGTCTTTTGATACAAGATCATGCCATCATCAAATAAAGATAATTTGACTTCTTTTTCTACTTGAATCCCATTAATTTCCTTCGCTTTCCTGACTGCACTGGCTACAGTTTCAAGAACTGTATTGAATAGGAGTGGTGAGAGTGGACAGCCTTGTCTTGTCCCAATTTTAAAGGAAACCCTTTGTTTATCTCTGTTCAGTATGATAGCTTCAGGTTTGTCACATACAGACTTTATAATGTTGAGGTAGTTTCTCCAACATTTTTACCATGAATGAATGCTGAATTCGATCAAAGGCCTTTTCTGAACTTACTGATATGATTATATGATTCTTGTCCTTAATTCTATGTATGAGGTGAATTAATTACTTTTATTGATTCACGTATGTTGACACAACCTTGCATCCAGGAGACGAAACACACTTAACCATGGTATATTATCTTCCTAATGTGTTTTGTAACATAGTTTGCTAATATTTTATAAAGTATTTTTGCTTCGATATTGATCAGGGATATTGGTCTATACTTTTCTTTCCTTGATGTGCCTTTCTCTGGTTTTGGTATCAAGGTTATACTGGCTTCACAGAATATATTTGGGAAAGTTATGTCCCTTTTAATTTCATTGAATAATTTGAGAAACACTTGTGTTAGTTCTTCTAAACGTGTAGAATTAAGCTGAGAATCCATATGGTCCTGGGCTTTCCTTTGTTGGAGAGCTTTTAATTGCTGTTTCAATTTCATTATTTGATAGGTTCAATCCAGGCAGGTCACAGGTGTCTAGAAAATCTGTCAGTGTCTTCCAGATTTTTCAGTTTATTGTAGTGTGTTCTTTCAAAATAGTTTCTAATGATTCTCTGGATATCAAAAGTGCTTGGTGGTATCTCCTTTTTCATTTCTAATTTTGCTTATTTGAGTTGTCTCTTTTTGTTATACTAGGTAAGAGTTTATCCATCTTAAATCTTTTCAAAGAAGCAACTCTTTGTTGCATTGATCCTGTGCATTTTTATAGTTATTAATTTCATTAATATTGACTCTGATCTTAATAATTTCCTGCCTTCGTTGCAGGAATAATTTCACATTCATGTCAATGGATGTAAACTACCTCTATCAGTCCTGGAGGGCAGATGCCCTGACTGCATCTTCTCAACAGACTGGACGGGCTATTGAGTTCCCTTAGTTACCTGCTTCACTGATGATCAGTCTTCCCACTTATTAATCTGGAGCCAAGGAACTGCTAGGAAGTGCACCTTTCCTCTAATCTACCATCTTCCTCCACATTTTCCATTCCTGAGTTTTCTGTTTGTCTTCTGTGGGGTTTCTCTGGTGGTACTGGGGACAGAGCCCAGGATCTTGCGCACGGGAGGCAACCACTCCACCACTGAGCTGCATCTCCTGGGTTTTTTAAATTGTATGTTTAGATAGACTGAGGTACCCATGCTGGCCTCGTACTAGCAATCCTCCTGCCTTGGCCTCTCAAATCGTTTGGATTGTAAGCATGCATCATCATCTCTATAATTCTGGAGCTTTGTTAATTCTCAACTTACAGTCTCTTTCCTGTCCACAATTGTTTGGTTAGCAGCTTTTAGATGAGATTCACTGCCCTGTCAAGAGTTCTTCTGCTTTGAGGATCTTCCTTTGCTGGATTTTGGAGGATTTTTATTAACCAAAAAGTTTTGAATTCCACTCTATCTTGAACTTTAATTGGTATGCTGGACCTTCATTGGTAATGAGTCTGGCTTTCTTGACCCATCTATAGCAGGGGAGGTACTCCAGTTAGAGATAAAACCTGCTCTCAGTTCGAGCAAGCCTTCTGTCCCATGGTGTTGTTCCACATCTTCAGTGAATCACAGGGCCATGTTTTAGGATGGTGTGGGGCAGACTCTAAGTGCCATTATCCTTTTCCGAAAGGCCAATTTCATGTTTTTCTTCTTCACCATGCATCTTAGAGGCACCAGCACTTTATGGGTAGCCCTTTTGCACCTCAGATTTTCCAAATGAGACCTTATGACTTGCACTTTTTCCAAAAGTGCCCTCATCTTCAGTTAGTGGCAATCACCAAATCCATACGCAGGGGCATCGTGCCACACAGAAATCCTGCCTCTTCTGAAATCAGAAGCTCAATGATGACAGTGTTCTGGAACAATCTCCCTCCTTTGTAACATCTTGGCTCTGGAGCAGACACGCTATTTTTTGTTATACTCCCTGACACTTGCAAGAAGCTGAAGCATGTGGTATTTTATATAATATTTTATGCAGCACACATGAGTTGAAGGTGCAGAAGACTCTATCTGTCATGGGAGTTGGCCTGTGGTACTGGATGGCTCCACTATCTTATGGACATAGAAAGTTTTAAAGGAATCTTTTAAAGCTGCCTAGTGTTACCATTTCTCTTCTAAGCTGAAGATCCTTCCAGTGGAGCTCACTAACTTTCCACCCAGGCTTCCCACAAATGGTACACTCTCCCCACTTCTGAACTGTCTGCTCTTGCTGTCAGCCCTTGAAGTACTTTCACAAGGCCTAAAACATATATCCAGCTTTTCAGAAGTCATAAACAATACAAACCAGCATGAAGAGGAGGACGAGCAAAGCAAAGGGGGACAGTGCACCATGCTCCCAGTTCTTAACTGTAGGGACACTCATCTCTTCTGATTTATTGCTTTCGAGCATCTTTCTCATACGCTTAATTTTCTTTTAAAACTGTGTGCTTTCTTTTCTTTTTAGAGAGAGAGAGAGAGAGAGAGAGGACAGAGAGAGAGAGAGAGGACAGAGAGAGAGAGAGAGAGAGAGAGAGAGAGAGAGAGAGAGAGAATTTTAATAGTTTTCGGCGGACACAACATCTTTGTTTGTATGTGGTGCTGAGGATCGAACCTGGGCTGCACGCATGCCAGGCGAGCGCGCTACCGCTTGAGCCACATCCCCAGCTCTAAAAGTGTGTGCTTTCTTCACAGTAAGTATTTTCGTACAAGTCCAAAAAGATCTCCGCGTACTTCAGAACTGGTGCTCTAATCCTGTTGACCTGGACAAGCTTGTTCCCTGTGTCCATGTTCCAAGAGCATCTTGTGCAGACCTATCTAAAAAAGGCACAACGGGCAGCTGCAGAACAATGCTCATCCCCAGTCTCTGACGGCATCACGGTGTCCTCATTTTGCATCCACACAGCTGTTCATCAACTGTCACATACTATGAGCTCCTTAAGTGCTTCTGAAATGATGATGATTACTTGCTGAGCCTCGTCATGTCTGATCAAGACTGAAACAAAGGTGACTGAGCCAATAAAAATCTTTTATACGCTGTGAAAATCAGTAACCGTAAGTCCTTCAAACCCCGGCAGTCAGGGGAAAGAGGACTTAAAGATTTACCAACACTGTATTTTGGAATAAAATAAAAGTTGAATAAAATACTCTTATGCATGTAAAGAAAGACCCATCTGCATACACACATATCCAAACATACATATGTACTTATCTGAAAAGTAGATATTATGTGGCTACCATAATTAACTCAAAGAGTTAAATTAAATTATACCATCTTACTGACTCATATTTTAGAGAAGGATGTTATCTACACTAAATATGCTAAAAATATTAGAAAACTGTACTGAACACATCCCATAGACATGTAAATGACATGGGAACATCTAAGAAGCTGACAATTCTCCAAACTTTCCCTCTCTAGTTCACAGCTTTCATGTGAATTTACTCTTCATCGAATTACTCTCTCAAAAGGAAGATCTACTACCTTTAACTTATACAAACAATATTTGTACTGAACAAAAGATTCAACTTACCCTGGTAAAGGTTCCTTCAAAACTATGAATATCCAGTTGGGGCTTCTGAGCATAAACATAAGCCCTGATAGAAAAAAGGTCCTGGAATACAGAACATGTGTATTAATTTCAATGTTATAATTAAATAAAATGACATGGAAAATTTTCATTTGCTAATTAAAATCTTCCTTATGCTCTGTGCTACAAGTGATTCTTAGGTCCTGTTTGCCAGCACTCTGAATCAGGATGGAAGGTAACAACAAAGCAGTGCTAAAGCTCAACAGAAATGGTCACTTCTCTTCCCTCCAAGAAATGTGCAGTGTGTATCAGAACCACCTGGGAGAAGCTGGCAAAGCACACATTGCCTGGGGCTGTTCACAGGATTTTAATCTCAAGGCAGAGCCTGAAGGCACAATGGTACCCCACAATCCCACCTCATCCTTGGCTCCCTGTTCCTGAAGGACAGGCCTGACAGCATGGAAGCCCTTTTGCCTAGGGAACACGAGCTGAGAAGTCAAGAGGAAGGACAGATTCACAGTCAGTCCTAGACATGGAAAAGTATAGACTTCAGACCCCTCTGTGATGCCACAATTTTGGAATCAGCACCAATGCCCAGGGCTCATTCTCTAAGGGATAACATCTGAAGTTAAGCTGCTTGTGGTTCGTTTGTACCCCTGCTGTGGAGGACAACTGCACAAAAAAATCTGTTCCCAACCAGAGCTGTACATCAGGCAGGCACACAACCTCGAAGCCTTGGGAGGGTCCCATTCTTTCCTGTGACTTGAGACACCTCCCCAGGGGTGTTTCCATGCTGTGTAGTGTGCTCTCTCTGTTCCAACAGCTGCAGCTCACAGCAGATGTCTAAAAACCTGAGTCCACTCCCCTCACCTGTTACTGCATGCACACCTTAGAAAGGCAGGAAATGCAGAGAGTGCTGGTGCCCAGACACCAAATCATCTTTTCTAGGCCTCTCCCCAACAGATGATTAGGACAAAAGATGGTATTACACAGTCATTCTCAAAATGATTGAAAATTAATAATTCCTCTTGAGAAACTGTTAAGCATGATATGTCTTTATGGTTAGTTAAGCTGTATAAAAAAAAATGTTTTCCTTTTTCTAAAAAAGACTTGTGTCCCTCTTGAATACAATCCCAGGTAAAAGGTCTGGGGAAGTATAGGAGACGTTAAAGTCAGGATGGCCAAATGAAATACCACAACTTTGTCTTTTTTGTTTTTTAATATTTAACTTTTTAGTTGTAGGTGGACACAATACCTTTATTTTATTTGTATGTGGTGCTGAGGATTGAACCCAGTACCTCACGCATGCTAGGTGAGCACTCTTCCTCTGAGCCACAACCCAAACCCTATAGGACAACTTTGTGACAATAAAACTCCAACACCTAGGAATGTAGAGGTAGGGAGAGAACGAGGGGCTAGAAGGACCTTAGATCTCAAAACTGTCTGGAAGCTTCCCCTCTTGCTACCTTGGCAAGCTTCTGCAAGTGGGTAAGCTCCAATGGGCCATAGAGCCTACAGTCCTACGTGACAGTATAGAACTCCTCAGATGAGTTCTGTGGCAGGTAGTTCAGCTTTGTTTAACTGGCCACAGGGAGCAGCATCTTGAGGAAACTGAGTACACTGCCAGTAGGTGGGTGTTGTGTGGGAGACTTCACATAGCCTCCTGAGGGGCCTGGTCCTCAGAAGGACCTGCATGCAAGGTGTGTTCAGGGAACAAGGGTTCAAGAGAAAGGCTCTCCATCCCTGAACTGTTCTGCAAGCAATTTGACTTCCTTCTGGTATTCCAGACTCATGGTGTGTGCCTCTGTGGCTGGCCCTTGATAAGGGGCTGAGCAATGAGTCTCTGTAGCTCCCCAATAGGCGGCACTGCACATGCTGGTCACATGAACTCGTCAATGGGTCGAATGCCTGCTTTCCTCTGGACTCTCAACATGTCCCTTGTTGGATGTACTAGTACCCCTGCAATACCTCACAGCCATGTGGGGGATAACTCCACCTAGTTTCTGAGAGTCCTAACGAATCATCAGAGCTAGGAGTGGTTTTGATGATCCCTGATACAAAGAACTTGCCATTTTTATAAATTTGATTTCCTTTCTGAGTATGAGTGAAAAACCAGAATTTGGAGAATAGGGTGACCAAAGCATCTGAAAAGTAAGGGTAAACTAAAGTCTGGGAGAAAGAAGCCCCTCATAGAGGGGCCTGAAAATCTGTTTTTAATCTTAGTCTGATCCCTAAACAAATCATGCACAGTCCAAGTTCCAAGCAGCCCAGCAAAAGAAAAGAAGTGAACAAGGGCCTCAGCCAAGCTAACCACAGTTAAACCTAACCAAACTCCAACACTCTTCAGAAGAACCCAATAGAATCCTGTGTCTCTATAATGTATCATGACTAAAGCTGAAGATACAATTCAAATTTCCAGACACGTAAAGAAGCAAAACCATAAAACTCAGCCAAAGAAAGAATGCAATGGGTGAAGACCAGTCCTGAACACACTGAGCATGAAAACCAAGAGATGAGAATTCTAAAGTAGCTTTCTAACACTTCAGACTCGTAAAATATGCTCCTAAAGAAAAAATCACTGCAGAGAAAGAAAGAAAAGGGAAAAGGAAAACTACCTGAAGAAACAATGACCTAGAATATTCCAAATCTGCTGACTGCCCAAAATGTAGATTCAAGATAAAAAAAAATTAAAACTATCAAATTACTACAAAGACAAAGACATATGGGGAGTGAAATCCTAAAACACCTAGAAAAAAATCGACAAAATACCGATGACTTTTTACTACAAATAATCAAGGCAGAAGACAACAAAACAAACTACTTAAAGTACGAATATGGGGAGAGGTCAACCCAGAATTCAAAGCCAGCAAAAGATCCTTGAAGAACATAGAAGAAATAAAGACATTTTCAAAGGACTTAAATGAGAACTAATTTCAGTGGCTATCCACCAGCTATATATACACTGACAGAAGTTCTTCACCCTGAGGGGAGATGGCATCAGGAAATGACAACTGTCCATACAAACATCAAAAGAAAAATCCCATTTTTCACCTAATTTCTTAAAAATATGCAATTAAAAGCCAAAGTGGAAAAAGCAGTGAAAGAAGACATGAGAGACCAAAGTTGGCTCAGGCTTCAGGGCCCAATGGGGAGGAGGGCAAGGAGAGGATCGATCAAGAAAGGAAAGATGGTAATTACTGATTAGTCAAGGTCTCTGAAAAGCGTGCCAGACAGGATCAGCACAAAGCTTTGGAAGATTCACCTTTAGACAGGAACAGGAATCATCCTTCGTTATCAGATTAGGCAAAGGAGGAAGAGAGGCAACAGGCTTTACTGGCCAAGAACTGCAGAAACTTCTGCTTAATGGAACCCTTTTCTGCACAGACAAGACCATGTGTTGAATGACAGTGAGATGAGAAATGAAGAGGAGCCAAGTTTGAGAATGCTGTCACTGACAGGAGAAACCACAGTTACCTAGGACACATGCAGAGAGGTAAAGGTCTCTTGGGAGGACGCCAATGCTGGTCATCATAAAGCTGTTTTCCACTCTGGCCTACATTCTGAGTAATGCAGACAATGCATTTGCCATTCTTATTTAACTTTTTAATTGCAGCAGTGGTGTTTATTTCTAAGAGGTCTTATTTTTCACTTTTTCTTTTCTCATAGCTTCTATTTTGTTTAAACTGTAAGAAACTCTCAAATTTCTTCAGAGATATTAGACAACTGAAATCACTGTCTTCAGTTCCTCGAGACCTAATCCACTGGGCTGCTTTCAGTTTGGACTGGTCTTTCCCCTTCCTGTGGATTCTACACATGCATTCCAACTATCTCCGCGGAAGGCGGAGGCAGAATTGCTGGTGGGCTTCCTCATGCTGCCCACACAGGCACCTGGATGCTGTCTGAAACTTTCATACTGTCTTTCATTTCTAGATGACATATTGACTTCTGCTGTTCATGTTTCATTAACTTTCCACTTTCAGTGAAATGGAACATATAAATTTATGAACTGCTTAAACTTTTACTCAAAGAACAAGAGCATAGTAACTGACACTAATTTAAAAAAAAAAAGGCTAAAAAGAATATCCTGTTCTCGTGCCAATAAAAGCCTCTAAGAGAACTAACTGAATAGTTGTAGGCTACTCAATTCAATAAGCAGCATAAGAAATCAGAGACACTCGGGCTCAGCAGTAGAGCACACACCCAGCATGTGTGAGGCCCTGGGTTCAATCCTTAACACCACATAAAAATACCTAAATAAAATTAAGATATTAAAAAAAGAAAAGAAATCAGAGACACTCAACAGAAAGCCAAATTAAAAAGTGGAATGGCAGAAGTTATCCTCCATCTTCCATCCTGCTTCTCTTCTCCTTTTAAAACTAACTTCCAAGCCGCAGACAGGTGGCTTCCCAATACATTTCTCAGCATTCTCCACAGGTGGATGTGAAAGTGTGGCTAATTCTTGCCAAGCAGCATGACAAACAGTAATGCAGTCCATCTACCTTCCTTACCCTCTGTTGCTGGCCACTGTGCAATCAAGAGCTGCTGAGACCTCTCGTGGGAAGTCACCTGACAAAAAAACAAAACTACCCCCACTAGCCTTGGACTACCATTTTTGGGCCACCAAATGAAGGAGAAAAGGTTCTCTCTAGACTTGGGGTATATCAGTTGAGTTTCATTTTTCAAATCAGAAGCATTCTGAATTTAATAGCAAAAGGGATCTCATGCAGAACATGATGCTTCCAATATCAGAGAAAGGGAAGAAATTCATGACTAAACCTCCAAAAATACTCTCAGAATGTTAATGAAACAACTCTCCAGGGAAATACCACTATATGACCCAATGAAGTTGACCACTGCCCAAATGGTAGAGGAGCAGCAGTAGCTTAGGGAGCGCAAGGGCATCTGCCAGCAAACACCACAGGAAGAAGACAGCTCCTCTTCTCCTGCCTTCCAAACTCCTGTGAGCACAGTCAACCATGAAGACTGATTTCCATACCTTCCAGGCCTCCAGGATACAGGAGGCTAGTCCTCAAGTTCCCAGGGAACACAGGCTGGATGGTGAATGGAGTGAAGCAGACTCTATA